GCAGCAGGCAAGCAGCAGCAGCAGCAGAGCAGCAGCAAGCAGCAAGCAGCAAGCAGCAAGCAGCAGCAAGCAGCAGCAAGCAGCAGCAAGCAGCAGCAAGCAGCAGCAAGCAGGAGCAAGCAGCAGCAAGCAGGAGCAAGCAGCAGCAAGCAGCAGCAAGCAGGAGCAAGCAGCAGCAAGCAGCAGCAAGCAGCAGCAAGGAGCAGCAAGGAGCAGCAAGGAGCAGCAACAACAGGCAAGCAGTAGGTGAGCAGCAGGCGAGCAGCAGGTGAGCAGCAGGTGAGCAGCAGGTGAGCAGCAGGTGAGCAGCAGGTGAGCAGCAGCAGGTGAGCAGTAGCAGGTAAGCAGCAACAAGTAGCAGCAAGCAGCAGCATGGAGCAGCAAGCAGCAGGCAAGCAGCAGGCAAGCAGCAGGTGAGCAGCAGGTGAGCAGCAACAGGTAAGCAGCAGCAAGCAGCAGCAAGCAGCAGCAAGTAGCAGGCAAGCAGCAGGGAAGCAGCAGGCAAGCAGCAGCCAAGCAGCAGGCAAGCAGCAGGCAAGCAGCAGGCAAGCAGCAACCAGCGTTTGCCCCCTTGAAAGAATGATCAAATATATTTTTTATGCAATAAAAAAAATGAACTTTTTCCAGCCGCACGGCCCCAAAACAATGAAATTGTTCAATTACTAAAAGTTGTGGTGATGCCAAACTTGAACTTTTTCCAGGCGCACGGCCTCCCGATACGACTTTTACAAGCTGATACGACTTAACGCTAGCGTTAGTCAAAGGAAGTTTAGGGGGAGAAACTTCCGTGTTACGGACTTTTAGAATGTCAGGGAAAGAGTTAGTCAAAGAAAGAGTTAGTGAGGGAAAGAGTTAGTCAAACAAAGAGGTAGTCAAAGAAACAGTTAGTCAGGGAAAGAGTTAGTCAAAGAAAGAGTTAGTGAGGGAAAGAGTTAGCAAAGAAACAGTTAGTCAAGGAAACAGTTAGTCAGGGAAAGAGTTAGTTAAAGAAAGAGTTAGTCAAAGAAAGAATTAGTCAAAGAAACAGTTAGTCAGGGAAAGAGTTAGTCAAAGAAAGAGTTAGTGAGGGAAAGAGTTAGTCAAAGAAAGAGTAGTAGGGAAAGAGTTAGTCAAAGAAAGAGTTAGTCAAAGAAAAGTTAGTGAGGGAAAGAGTTAGTCAAAGAAAGAGTTAGTCAAAGAAAGAGTTAGTCAGGGAAAGAGTTAGTCAAAGAAAGAGTTAGTGAGGGAAAGAGTTAGCAAAGAAAGAGTTAGGAAAGAAACAGTTAGTCAGGGAAAGAGTTAGTCAAAGAAAGAGTTAGTGAGGGAAAGAGTTAGTCAAAGAAAGAGTTAAAACTTTAGGATCGTTCCCTCACTGTAAATGGCATTGCAAGTGGTGCTGGTGGAGGAGTTGCCGATGGAGTTTTGGAGGAAGTCTCGCACGAAATGCGTTTTTGAGAGATAGCAGATGCACGAAACCCTATGTTTTTCCATACAAAGTGCGTCCCCGAACCTCGATGATCTACCTTTGCGGTGCGACGGGTGCGAGACGGTCTCGTGTGTGGTCGGATCATTCTCGGATATGTTCGGATCATCCTCGGATCATTCTCGGATCGGTTCCGCATTGTAAATGGGGTGTCAACTGTTTTTCGTGCATGTGTGGTCGACAGAATTCCATTGTGATTTGCAACTGTAGGATCGTTCCCGCATTGTAAATGGGGTTGCAAGTGTTGCTGGTGGACGAGTTGCTGATGGAATTGCATTGTGATTTGCAACTTTAGGATCGTTCCCTCACTGTAAATGGCATTGCAAGTGGTGCTGGTGGAGGAGTTGCCGATGGAGTTTTGGAGGGAGTCTCGCACGAAATGCGTTTTTGAGAGATAGCAGATGCACGAAACCCTATGTTTTTCCATACAAAGTCCGTCCCCGAACGTCGATGATCTACCTCTGCGGCGCGACGGGTGCGAGACGGTCTCGTGTGTGGTCGGATCATGGTCGGATCGGTCTCGGATCATGTTCGGATCATGTTCGGATCGGTTCCGCATTGTAAATGGGGTTTCAGCTGTGTTTCGTGCATGTGTGGTCGACAGAATTCCATTGTGATTTGCAACTGTAGGATCGTTCCCGCAATGTAAATGGGATTGCAAGTGGTGCTGGTGGAGGAGTTGCCGATGGAATTCCATTGTGATTTGCAACTCTAGGATCGTTCCCTCACTTTAGGATGAGTTGCCGATGGTCATTGTGATTTGCAACTCTAGGATCGTTCCCGCAATGTAAATGGGATTGCAAGTGGTGCTGGTGGATGAGTTGCCGATGGAATTCCATTGTGCTTTGCAACTGTAGGATCGTTCCCGCAATGTAAATGGGATTGCAAGTGGTGCTGGTGGATGAGTTGCAGATGGAATTCCATTGTGATTTGCAACTGTAGGATCGTTCCCTCACTGCAAATGGGATTGCAAGTGGTGCTGGTGGAGGAGTTGCCGATGGAATTCCATTGTGCTTTGCAACTGTAGGATCGTTCCCGCAATGTAAATGGGATTGCAAGTGGTGCTGGTGGATGAGTTGCCGATGGAATTTCATTGTGATTTGCAACTCTAGGATCGTTCCCGCAATGTAAATGGGATTGCAAGTGGTGCTGGTGGATGAGTTGCCGATGGAATTCCATTGTGCTTTGCAACTGTAGGATCGTTCCCGCAGTGTAAATGGCTGCGTCAAGGTTGCTTCTTGCCACGGCTGCATGCGTAATACTATTGTCTTTTGCAGCTGGACTTCGTAAATCGTATTGGAGTGGCTGCATGAAGGCTGCGACAGTGATTTGTCAGCAGATTTTCTCCATTTTGGCGCTAGTAATTTTCCTTTTAAAAATCCTTTTAAAAAGTGCTTCAAAATCGTCTTTTTTTCGCTTTGGCGTCGAGATCCGGTTTTGGAGCTGCAATTTCCGACCCAGTTGCGCGTAGTTCTATTGTGTTTTGCAACTCAGTCTTTGCAGATCGCATTGTAATGGCTGCGTCAAGGTTGCTTGGTGCCGCGGCTGCATGCGTAATACTATTGTTTTTTGCAGCTGGACTTCGTAAATCGTATTGGAGTGGCTGCATGAAGGCTGCGACAGTGATTTGTCAGCAGATTTTCTCCATTTTGGCGCTAGTAATTTTCCTTTTAAAAATCCTTTTAAAAAGTGCTTCAAAATCGTCTTTTTTTCGCTCTGGCGTCGAGATCCGGTTTTGGACCTGCAATTTCCGACCCAGTTGCGCGTAGTTCTATTGTGTTTTGCAACTCAGTCTCCGCAGATCGCATTGTAATAGCTGCGTCAAGGTTGCTTCATGCTGAGGCTGCATGCGTAATACTATTGTCTTTTGCAGCTGGACTTCGTAAATCGTATTGGAGTGGCTGCATGAAGGCTGCGACAGTGATTTGTCAGCAGATTTCCTCCATTTTGGCGCTAGTAATTTTCCTTTTAAAAATCCTTTTAAAAAGTGCTTCAAAATCGTCTTTTTTTCGCTCTGGCGTCGAGATCCGGTTTTGGAGCTACAATTTTCCGACGCCGTTGCACGTAGGTTTAGAGCAGTGAAGTGTGGGGCGTGAAGAGTGCAGTGTGAAGTGTGCAGTGTGAAGGAAGCAGTGGGAAGTGAGAAGTGTGAAGTGTGGAGTGTGAAGTTTAAGTTTGGAGTGTGAAGGAAGCAGTGAGAAGTGACAAGTGTGAAGTGTGGAGTGTGAAGTAATTCCATCGTTCGTGCGGTTGTATGTTGATAACCTCCATAAAATGACCACCGTGACTTTGATTAGTGTGACCATACCTGATGTGACTGTGACTGTGACTATTCTGATCATGACTACTGTGACCATAGATACTATGACAAAGACTACTTTGACAATGACCGTTGTGGCTGTAACTGTAGTGACAATGAGTATTGTAACTGTTTGGACTGGCCCCTTTTTAGGTAATGACAGTGGGAAGTAGAAGTGACGGCATTAGTGTCCCAAGAATAAATGACTAGAAAGTGAAGTGTGGACTGTGAAGTGTGGAGTGTGAAGTTTGGAGTGCAAAGAGTGCAGTGTGGAGTGTGGAGTGTGAAGTGTGAAGTTTGGAGTGTGAAGGAAGCAGTGAGCAGTAAGAAGTGTGAAGTGTGGACTGTGAAGTGTGAAGTGTGAAATGTGGAATGTGAAGTGCGAAGTGAGTGTGAAGTGTGAAGTTTGGAGTGTGAAGGAAGCAGTGAGCAGTGAGAAGTGTGAAGTGTGGACTGTGAAGTGTGAAGTGTGAAATGTGGAGTGTGAAGTGCGAAGTGAGAAGTGTGAAGTGTGAAGTGTGGAGTGTGAAGTGCAAAGTGAGAAGTGTGAAGTGTGAGGTTTGGAGTGTGAAGTGTGGAGTGTGAAGTGTGGAGTGTGAAGTGCGAAGTGAGAAGTGTGAAGTGTGAAGTTTGGAGTGTGAAGGAAGCAGTGAGAAGTGAGAAGTGTGGACTGTGAAGTGCGAAGTGTGAAGTGTGGAGTGTGAAGTTTGGAGTGTGAAGGAAGCAGTGAGAAGTGTGTGACTGTGGAGTGTGAAGTTTGGAGTGCGAAGAGTGAAGTGTGGAGTGTGAAGACTTTGCTTCGTCTCTCGCTGAAAAAAAACCGCTTGTCGAGGGAAGGACACGCTCGGGACAGGCTGGCCTTGAACTATAGGTCATTTATTCTTGGGAAACTTCCGCCGCCGGCTTGCCCGGGTCTATGTTATATATTGATTTATTTATTTATTTTTGGGGTACCCCAATAACTAGACGGTGTCTGCTAGATAATAGGAAACCCCCATAATGAAATTCCCTAAAAATCCCCTAAATTTCCCTAAAATTCCCCTAAAATTCCCTCAAAATGACCTAAAATTCCCTAACATTTCCCTAAATTTTCCTAAAATTCCTTTAAATTCCTTAAAATGGAAACCCCACATATGGTGATCGTGTAACATGATAAAGGGATCATCTCCACTGGCCCTTCTGCCGAAGTCACCAAAACAAGACCTGTAAGACCTGTAAGCTCTTCGTCAAAATCGGGGATTAAAACCAACAAAAATCTAGATTTAACATGTATAACAACAAAACAAGGGATTCCAGCAAAACTTGGAGGGTTTGAACAACTGGCATCAACCAACAGGAGTTTAGGCAACTACTCACGGCTTTGATGAGCAAATCTCGTGGCTTTGGCAAGTCAATGGTTTTTTCAACATGGCATAATCTGCAACATGACCAGGACCCTTCTCCAACACGCCCCACCTGAAATAGCATCCGGTCAATTTCGTCAGCATGCTGGGAGAAATGTGGATTGCCCAAACAATCATCATAACACCTGAGGTTGCACGAAACGCAAGAAGAGTCCAGGAACAATAACCCATGTAAGCAACAATACTGCAAGATCACACCTCTAAAGATTAATTTGAAATCCAGTGTTTTGTCATGGTTTCTTTTAGTTTCACCGTCTTTGGCATTAGGTAAAAGGGAAACGACAAAACGCTCAGCATGCGCTTAGTCTTGGTGTTAATGCAGACTGAAAAGTATCACACAGAAGGATTGACAACTGCTTCTTGCATGCTTTGCATATACTGTAGCAACCCCCAAAAAGAAATGTAAAATATGTAGAGTCCTGCTAAAATAGTGACCATATCTTTTTTTGCTTGATATAATTCATGCCTAGTCCTAGCAGACAGCTGTCCTTTTGTGGCATACCAGCCTTGCAAATAGGCTAATGATCTTGTCCTTCATCTCAGGGGCAAAGGCTACCAGCCCAACCTCGGCTCCGCTGGCTCCGCTGGCTCCCCATCCCATGGCCTGATTACCAGCTTCCCCGGTAAGACGGTCATTCCCATTCACCACCATTAACCACCATTATATAACCATCATTAACCACCATTAACCATCATTAATCATCATTAACCATCATTAATCATCATTAACCATCATTAATCATCATTCATCATCATTAATCACCACAATCGTAATCATCATCCCGTATTGTCCTGTTCGAATTTGGCACTTTGGGATCCCGAGATCGCAACACTGATCGCACGGAGGGCCATCTTCTTCCACCGTCCAATCTCCGCCTGGGAACATCTGGCAATGGCAATGGCCATGGGGAAATCAATGCTCAACCAGCTTGATTTTCACGCAAGATAAACATGATAAACTAAGTTTTGGCGCTTTTAGGGTGTACAAGTAGCCTTATTTCCACACAAAGCCAGCTTGTCTCCATGTCGACTTCTCCGCGCCTGCGCTTTGTCCATCCCGCGACTTTGTCGGAGGTTGGAGATCGTCTCTTGCATCCACTGAAAAAGCCTCGCAGGGTCGTCCAGGCAGCGACAGCAAGTGTTGAAAATGGCGAGAATCGTGGTGTCAGTTTTTGCTGGTTATAATCAACCAGTTTTAATGGTTTTATATGGTTTTATAACCAACCAGTTTTTACCACAGCGTTCTCAAAAAGTGAATCGGTTGCTGGACATTTTGGACCTCGGGTGGCAGACATAAAATCGAGTCCAACAACCAAATAGCCACCCCAGCCGGAGCCAAACAAAAATCACAATGGCTGGCAAATCGGTTTCTGCAAAATTTGCGTACACCCCCAACATTTAGATTTATCATCATCTTCATCTTCCTAATGCCCATTTTGGGTTGTAGCATGTTGTAGCGTTATACCATGTTGCACCCAGGATTTCTAGGTCCCCTTGGCCGTTGTCGGTGACATCGCCTGTTGCTAAACTCATTGTTGACGCTGTCCCAGACTCTGCTGGAGGAGCGTGTCAAGGTCTGCAAACCCGCCTTTGGCTGGTGGAGATACAAAGCTCCAACCATGTCCAACCACAAAACAACCGGGATAGTTACCCTCTGGTAAACTAACATAACTATGGAAAATCACCGTTTTTAATGGGAAAATCCACTATAAATGGCCATTTTCAAGAGCTATGTTAAATTACCAGAGGGTACTAATATGCTTGCAGTTCATCAAAATCAATCGTGACTTGGCTAAAGAATCCAGAAGAGAGAGATGCAAAAAAAAGATCCACTGAAAACAAAATCGCTGATACCTGTGAACCTGGAATGAAGTCACCGCAGATCCACCACCTCAGCCAATCTCGCCAAGGTGCCTCCGTTTCACATTCCATTTGGAGACGCTCGAGATTCCAAGCCTTCACAAGGCCAGGAAGTTCCACACACAAAGTCTCTTCCTTAGGGGTCGCATGGCTTTTTTGGCGCAGCCCCAACCCCGATGTCCGCTTCAGGCCCATTCTTCAGACAGGTCTTGGTATGTGCAAAAAAAAAAAATGATTATCCATACTGCCAAGCAGTGCACAAGCAAGTCTGAAGCCTGCTGGATACATGGGCAAGCTCTGAAAGGATTGATGGAATGGTACAAAGCCCGAAGAATTCTATTTCCACAACGTCTATCTGTTTGCACCTCAAGTAATCTTTGCATTGCGACGGTACATGCACAAACTAGAAGTACGTATACAGCCGTATACAGAATGCTCACCCCTCCCGATGCCCTTTCCACTGGAGCAAGTTTTGTCAGCAGAGAATCCACTTCAGGGATGAACAGGGGCAACTCCATTTTCTGATGCATTGTTACCACTGCATCTGCCACCGCTCTCATGTCCACGAACGTACGATTTTTCATCGAGGAATGCTTCAAACGATCCAGCAGCCCCTCCTGGAGTGCGAAACGGCACCATATCCCATTTGGCATCGAATGGCAAACCCTTCCCAAGTGTTTTTCAGTTTGCTTCCCAAAGGTTGCCTCTCGTTTCACTCAAAGCTATACGGGGATCAGTTCCAATATGATAAGAGCCAACGGCCTGATCGGCCTGTAAAATTTCCGTATTGCTCCCCAATGTTTGATATGTTTGGGTATGGGTCAAATTAAGGCACTAATGGACCCAGAAATTCATCCATGTTTGGTACTAACCGTTAACCCGTATCAAGCCATCCATTTTGGGGGTTTGATATTTTTGACGCATACCCGTATGGGCTAGCCATTAAATATTATATGATAGTCATATTGTTGGCGATGCTTCATTTTTGGTGATTTTTGAGGCCCTAACTAACCCCCACCTACCAGCCATTTTTGGGTCGTCCAATGCAGCCAGCTGTGGTCCTCCAAGCTCCGCTCCCCCGTCTTCAAAAGCTCACAAACTCGGTGCTGCAAATCCACCAAGGGAGCGCTTTCCACGAGGCGAAGCAAATGTTCCATGGTCTTTTTCACCTCAAAAAAGTGGAAAGTGTACAAACAGCCACAATGACATGTTGAAGGAAATCTAATCGCGAACTCTGTCTGTACTACATATGTATATATCTATACATGTGTATGCCTGTATGCATTTACTATGTATGCTGTATGCTGCATGTTGTATGGCTGCATGTTGTATGCGTGTTCATATACTTCAATATTCTGTGTAAGCTTCAAATACTTCAGAACTCGCAGCTCCCAGAAGTCACACTTCTGCGACCTTGCAACCCAAGTGACACTCTTCAAGGACGCCAACCCATTGTGGGCCAACATCTCTGCATGCTCATGGCACAGCAAGAGGTGATCAAATTCGCCCAGCCTCAATGTGCTCATGATGATCCCACGGATTGCCCGGTAAAGATGGGAGACAGCAAATCTTCCAGCTGGTGCCATTCTGAATGCCGAACAAAAAAACTTTTAAAAAAAAACTCATGGTATTCTTCACAGGTCGTACTTAGTTACAAAGTATCACTGCACATGTACATCTCAACCATACTTGATGTGCATCTTTAAAGAATAAAATGTAAAAATAAGTTTCTGTGGGATGACATGTTTTCATATTTAATTCTTCGAAATTCTAAACCGAAATAGCGTACACCAAACGGCAAAAAAAAAACATTTTCCGCAAGGACATGACGTTGGCAGGTTCTGTAAATAAGGTACTCCATGGTACCGCATGGCACCCTCATTCCATCTCACTGTTTTTTCCCATGCAACCTTCATAAATTCAGGGCTCCATTTCGACCCCGCATCCACACATCACTCTCCAGGGAACATTCCACCCTGGGCGTTGCGATTACTGTGCACGCTGTTCTCCACACGGGCATCGAGAATCCGTGCCGATTGATGCAAAAAGCAATTCAGCCGCGACTCTAGGAGTCCCTTCCTTGGTTTGGGCACCTTGGGGGTGGCACTTTTTGAAAATGGGGATATATAAATATGTGGTGGTACCCGAAAAATGGGGCCATAAAACCAACCACTATCGGGATCTAATGGGATATTATATTATCACGATTAATGGAGTGTTTAATGGAAAATTGGAACCAAAACCAATGATTTTTTCCATGAAATGCTGGGGGTGTCCGAGACGCAAATTTCCCGGCCAAGCCACAACTTCTCTTCGGGTTTCAACAGAGGCACCGTCTGCGTCGCCTCTGACATTGAGGTGATCAGGGCCACAGCCGGTCCTGACCCAAATGTGGAGGAAAAAATGGGAGTTTGGTTCGGTCAAATATAATCATATACGGTACAATTAGCTATATAAAACTTGGGTGTAAGACAGTAATCTGGGTTTAAGACGTTTTTCATCGGTTCTATTTCACAAATTTGGTATGCATGGGTTGTTTTTTCGAGCCCAAACATGATGAGCGATGGTGAAACATTGTGGTAAAATAAAGGGCATACACCATTGGTGAGCGTTTCTTACATATTGGGCGGGAAAAAATGATTTGTTTCCAACATGTTCAACAAACAAGGTCAACCCATGCACAATGCATGATAGTAAGAGTAAATGGCTATATGACGACAACCTTAACACTGCAAAGCACAAGCTAATCAAAACAGGAACCGGGAAAAACACTAAATAGCAAATACATGGGAAATACAAACACATGCCAAAATGTGTCTTTAAAAAATGTAAGATTGTACTCAATAATAACAGAAGTCACAGAACTGGGAAGTCTAATCGAATGGAAGAAGTGATCAAAGCAAAAACAAAAAAACTAATAACAAAAATGAACAACACTGGCTAATGAAGATACAATCAAGCTTGCTAAAATAGGGCCCTGCCTAAAGCAGCGAGTTGCAGGTTGTTGAAAATCTCCGCCACCCGCTGATGGTAGGCCTCGCAGAGCATAGGCAGCTCCGCTTCACCTGGAAGTGGTGCTTGCGGCTGGATCATCCTAGGTACAGATGGTACAAATATGGTACAAATGGAAATGAAATGGAAATGAAATGAAGTAAGAATAAGTAAGAGAAAGATAAAAGCACATAAAAATCATGAAAGCACCAGTGAAGTTAAGGCAAAAGGGAAGGAGAAGTGTGTCCTTGGTCCACTGAGATATAGTATTGGCAGTAGACTCGCCTATTGAATCTAGTGAACATTTTGATGCCGTAGAGGTCTTTGACTTTGGCTTCCATCTGCCCGACCATCGGCCTTCTCCCTCCACATTCACGATTGCTTCCACCACTGAGGTTGCCTGATGACTGCTGTTGTTGGGACGCCAAATGCATCTCATTTGGTGTTGGTTTGGAAATGTGCCTAACTCCAAAGAAAATCTTGATTGCTAACCACCAGGCTGCCCTGCTGGGTGAACTTAGCGCTTCCTGGATGTTCGAAGTCCAGAAGGGCGGTTTCTGACCTGGAACCTCGACCCCCGAAACAATTGTTCTATATTTTCTGAATTGCAAAACCTTGTGCATACTGGTATGTTTGTAATTTCCTGTAATTACATCGAACCTTTTTTCGTTTTGTATGTTTTTCAAACCTCTTTTCCTTGACATGTTTGCAGCGAACATCCTCACAATGCGCATATACATTTCCATCATTTCCCTGAAAGCTGGACAAAGTTGGGGGAAGGCTGGGAGAAAAGTTAGAGGAAAGTTGGGGGAAGACTTCCGGAAGACTTCCAGAAAACTTTAGGGGAAGATGTCGGGAAGATTTGGATAAAAAGTTGGGGAAGATTTGGGGAATACTGCAGTACTTGTGGATGACTTGGAGAAGAATCAAAAGATCCAACTTTCCACCAAGTTCGTCCAATTTTTCCCCGCTCAAGTCTTCCAACTAGTCTTTTTGTCAAGACTCGGCAAAGTTTTCCCCAACTCTTCCCCAACTTATCTCAACCCTTCCAAGTCTTCCCAACATGCAGGTCATTGAATTCATAAAGTATCCCTGTTTCATTACCACAATGGTTGCAATGTCATATATAGCCATGTTCATCTTCCATCAGCATGACATGCAGCCGAATCCAGCCAAAGAGGCTGGCAGACTTGCCCTCACACAATCGCGGCATAGCAAGATTGGTCACATATTTCGGGGTTGCTACGTGTTTGGGGTTTGGAAAAAAAATACTTCACAGTTTATGCATACTCTGTATGGTGGGTGTTGGATCACATCTCCACCAATCATGTTCAATTCGTCCATTGTAAGCCGGCCCCAGGCCTCTGGCAAGCGCATCTGTGTTATGCGAGTCATCAAGGCGGCATTCTGCAGTGGAGCTTGTGCATTGGCCTGGAAGCATCTGGAAACAGGGGAATCACATCATGGCGGCAGTCAACACCCCAAGTTTTGATGGTTCATTCCCTAGTTTTGACGGTTAAATCCCTACTTTTTATTGTTAAATCCCCAGATTTTTATCGCAAATTGTCAGAAAAAAAATGGAAACCACGACCCATGACTCATGACCTACAGCATCCCACTCCTGATAAGGTGACGGTGCATTGGCCGGTGGCACCGGCGGTTTCAAGTCGTAGCGCCGGGACAAGGGCGAGCTTTGCATACCATTTCGACCAGACCTCAGTAGCCACTCCACTGGGTCTGACGTTACCCCGTGAGTCGGGAATGTTCATTGGGTTTGTGCAAAAATTCAGGGAACACCCAATTCCAATGGATGATCATCATTTTGTCTGCTAAATTTGCCATTTCGGGGGTATCCTCCCATTTTCAGACAAAACCAAGTGTACAATGGGCAAAAGCAGAGTCAGTCACCCGAGTCAGTCGCCCCAAACGTCCAAGATAGTAACCCCATAGGGCAAAGTCAGTCACGGATGAACATTAGCACAGGATGCAGGGAAATCATGAACGGGAGACAGAGAGTCAGCAACCAAGAGTCAGTCACCCCTCGGAAGCTGGGAGGAGAATGAAGGAACCCGGAGGAAAGCAGAAAGTCAGCAACAGAGTCGGTCACCCTGGAAGAAGAATCCAGGAACCCTCGGGGAAAACAGAAAGTCAACAACAAAGAATCGGTCACCCCAACAAGAGTCAGTCAGTCTGTCTGTCTGTCTGTCTATCTATCTATCTATCTATCTATCTAAATGAAACCTAAACAAACCCTAAACCGACCTTGAATTCACCCTAAACCAACCCTAAGTAAACCCCAAACCAACCTAAAACAAACCCTAAACCAACCCCAAAACAAACCCTCACGAAAAAATAATTCAATCCCAAACCAAACCAAAAAGAAACCCTAAACCAAGCATCCATAAACCCCAAACCAAGACTACATAAACCCTAAAACAAACCCTACAGAAACCCTAAATTTCACCTTAAACCAAACCTAAGTAAACCCTAAACCAAGCCTAAATAAAACCAAAACCAACACTACGCAAACCCTAAAAGAGACCCTAAAACAAACTTTGACGAAACCCGACATTAGCCATTAACCAGAAGCTAACCAAATAAAACCTAAACCAAGCCTGACTATACCCTACACCAAGCCGAAATAAACCCTAATTCAACCTTCGCACAAACCCTGATGAAACCCTAACTTAACTTTAAACCAACCCTTAAAAACCATAAACCAGGCCCAAACCCCAAACCAACGCTAAGTAAACCCTAAATAGACCCTAAACCAAACCTTGACGAAACCCTACATTAGCCCTAAACCAACCCTAAATAAAACCTAAATCAAGCCTGAATATACCCTAAACCGTATGTTGAGTTGTAAGCAAGAAAGGTGAATGAGCAGCCATCTGAAGAGCCAGTGCCTGAAAGAGACATGCATGTTGCATGTTTGAAAAAATGCATATATATATATATATATTATTATTTTATTGTATTGTATTGTATTGTATTACATTATATTATATTATATTATATTAAATATACATATATATTATATACACATATATATTATATACATATATATATATTATATAGTAAATATTATATTGTGTATATATATATTGTACATATATATATATATTGTATATATATATATTGTACATATATATATATATTGTATATATATATATATTGTACATATATATATATATTGTATATATATATTATATAATATATATAATATATAATATAATAAATAATATAATAAATAATATATATAATATATTATATTATTTATATATATATATTGTATTATTATATATATTATATTATATATATTATATATATGATATAATATATATAATATATAATATAATATATATATTATAATATATAATATAATAAATAATATATATAATATATTATATTATATATATATTATTATGATATATGTTATATTATATATTATGATATATATTATATTATATTTAATATATTATATATTAAATATTATATATTATATATTATATATTATATAATATATATTATATTATATATTATATATTATATATTATATATTATATATTATATATTATATATTATATATTATATATTATATATTATTATATATATAAAATATAATATGTATATATATATATGTATAATATATATATATATATGTGGAAATGAAAGCGCACCGCAGTGCAGTCACCCTCGCCCCCAGTGGGGGTGCAGAGGGTGACTGAGTCCGACGTGATGGGTGATTGACTCACTGCGCTCTGACTCTGTCAGTGGCTGACTGATTCCGTCTGCTCTCAGTCTACAATGGTGGAAAACACTACAACCGCCACAGAACAAGAATTGTGTATTGTACAAGCATCCTACCATAATTCAGAAAAGCAGAAAGGCAAAGATTTGGTGAATTTGGTGCGCGTGCCTGGCGCTAGTATACCAGAATTTATCCGATAAATTTTATGGGGATATGTCAAAACCCATCGTGATATTGCCATATTTTGGGGGAATGAACATCCATTTCCAATCTAATTGGTGTTCATCAGGGTACCAAGGTTTTGACATAGCCATATCTCTTCCAGAATTTGGCAAACTGCACATCTGGTGGTTGGCATCCAAGCAACGGCGAAGACGGAGGCCTTGGAGACGAGAAAGGTGAGCTTGCGTTGGAGCGACAGCCCCCACTTGTCGAAGGCCTGGCTATGTGCAGTGCGAGTTTGGGCAGATCAGTCAGAGTTTTAGGCATTGGCGAACGGCCCAAAAATGTGTTTTTTCTGTTCTACTCGTGAGGGAGATTTCTATCAATCCTGGGTTGACATTAAGACTACATTAAGACTGCTAGATCGTGCAGGGAGAATTCGTGGACGACATACATACACTGTGCATCACTGTGCACACTTCTGAGCAATCTCTGGTTGTGTGGAAACACTCCATGACGCGGAGATGTTTCTCGAGCCCGCCCGATGCTTAACTGCGAGATGGCCACGAGAGTACTGCCAGATCCTGTTTGATCTCCCTGCAAAAAACTTAAATGAATCAGAATTTGATCACGCCCTGCAGCAAAAACTCAAATGGTCTTTGTCTGGAAGTGGTTTATTTACACCTATATTTTAAATCTAGCCCACATGTGTGACAATCTTCCATGCAAATTTTATGAAACCATCAGTCTTTGGTGGGTGTTTTCTGGTACCACACCATGTCACCATGGGTGATCTCGGTGGCCACCTGGGAAGTGTCTGCGACAACAGGAGGTTTGGATAGTTGCCACCGGTGCCGCTGGAGGATCTCCTCCCAGGTAGCTTTGAAAATGACCAGGAAACATCAGGAATCGATAAATGTTTTCATTGAACGATCTGAATGATGATCATGATGATGAATCGATGAATCGTTGAATCATTGATGCATTGATGTGTTGCTAGGCCCCCATCACCTTTGCGTTCTTGCTCAGTTCTTGCGGTTCCGTGGCTTGGTGTGATCAGTGTCAGTTTGGATTTGAAAATCGTTAGACCTTTCAAAGCCTTCACGTTTGTCATTGGGGATCCGAATCTTTCGGCGGATCGCTTTGACTCATACCCCTTGCTCCAACTGACTGTGATTTTGATCCAAACCTCTGGGGAACCTCCGGTGTTCCCTTGCTAAACTTGACTATCAACTCATAATCCGAACTTTGGATGCTCAATAATCTCAATACCAAAAAAACAACGTATACTATGTTTATTACTATTATTATTATTATTATTATTATTAATTACGCTATTATTATTAATTACTTATCATTATGTATTAATTGTTATTATTACTCTTATTTTTTATTTACTATTATTATTAACAGGATTAATATATTAATTATGTTTTAAGACTTGACCATCATGAAGAATTTCAACATGTCTCCACCTTTTTCTTCTCCCTTCACAAAAAAACCCTCCTCGGCAGGGTCTGCGACAGCCGTGGCTCGCTGGGGGACTGCGGCCGCTCGCTGTGCACCTCTGAGGGCACGCCGAGGGAGTCCAACTTGGGCCGCGGGGTGCTCTCCGAGGTGCGCGGGCGATGCGGGGAGCGGTTGGGCCTCAGTGCGGAGGTGGGCCAAGATGGCCAAGATGGACAGATGGCCAAGATGGACAGATGGGAAAATCTGTGATTTTCTCTATGGGAAAAAATAGAATGTTTCCAGAGATTTCACTGGTATTGTTGGTTGCTGAATGACTTTTCGATCTTTTCGATCACGAAAAGAGGCATGTCATCGTGATCGGTTTATGGTTGGTTTCCACCCATCGAAGATGAGTGAATTTGGGAGAATATCATACCAAGTATGAATCGAAAACGAAGATACTTAAAACTAAAACCACCAAATCTATCCAAATCTCATGTTGATGATAAATAGTGCAGATAATGCTGATAGCAATCCGAAGTAGTACTGTGTCAATGTCAATATAGTAAATAAGATACAAATGATAGAACTAAACCGACGACAATGGCTGGCTCAAACCTTTTTGGTATTCCCCCGACATTGCTTGGCTGGTGCGTACTCTTCACTGCGAGGACAAGCGCCAACAAATACAACCATAGTTTCTAGCTGCCCACCCTCAACGCACATGTCACGTCTTTTTTGGTGTCCTCCCATCATCGCAGCAACACGGATTCACCTCTGAGCATCTTAGTCTCAGGGCGCCACAATTCTCGGGTGACCATCCTCTGTGATTTTGCCTATCTCAGTTTTTTTTGCCCCAAACAGGACTTTTCTGCACTTCTGGGGTTACTAAGCCTGTTCGGAACGGTGCAGATGCTGCATTCACTTCCCCGTGGTCCGCCTCAACGCTGGAGTTGGAGGCTGAAACTCCGATATTGGCAATGGTTTATGTGGTGAAAAACCCAATTTTAGGCTGCTTAATTCGGAGATTGTACTACTATTTCAAAGTGTTTCTCGCCTCTCACCTGTTGCCATTTCGTCTGTCCGGTTTCGCCAAGATCTTGTTTAGCCTGCCATGGTCATCAGCCAGAGACGAGAATAGCTCAAAATCTCCATGCACCCAGGAAATGCTCATACCCATCGAATAGGGTTTTAACCAGAAATGGAGATGAAATATGGGTATGTAATCGTAAAATATCCTCAAACGCTCCCACTCTGCTAGATCTTTTCCTTGCCTAATGCTGCTCACCTAGCAGTGGCAATAACATGTCAAACATATGCGGATGGCGCCTTCTCAAGCCATCCCTCATTTCCTCGGATTTGTGGATGGCATCTCAATCCATGTGTTCTTTTCCACTATCTGAAAAGTCTCCAGAAATCAAGCAGAATTTGCAAACCAGCTTAGAAAACTGTTTCCGTAACCTGCCTCCATACCCCCCATGGTTGAAATGTCTGCCTTGCAATAGAACTGGTGTGATCTTCATTCAAACACCAAGGTTGCCAAGGCACCCAGGACATCTCTATCGACACCGCAGACATGGTCTGTCTCGCTGCTTCCCAACGGCTGAGGACGGGTGCCTTGCAGCTCTAACAAGTTCCATGTGGGTCAAAATGTTTGACCCAGTGACCCCAAATGAAAGCATTGAAAACGCTTAATCATCCATCTTTTTGCAGTTTTTTTTTTTTCCTGGGGTTGCTATAATTCCCCCGAGTTTGGCCCATACCTTTTGTCTCCCTACGACAGAATGATGACACGCCTCTTCCCTTGAAGCCATGGAAGGTACCGTGGATGCAGAAGGACTTGCTGGGAAAGCGGGAGGGTTGGCCTGGCCAAAAGATCCCAAACCCATTGCTCTCTGGGAACCAACGATTTTGGTCATTTTTGGTCATGTACCATTATGTATGTCTGCATGCGTGTATGTGTCTGTATATGTATGTTTACATTTATCAATGTGTATCTTTATATCTATCCTTGGATAGATAGATATTTGGATGGATTTGGATGGATTTGGATGGATGGATGGATGGATGGATGGATGGATGGATGGGGAAACGATAGATAGAGAGAGATAGAGAGAGATAGAGATAGATAGATAGATAGATAGAGATAGATAGAGATAGATAGAGATAGATAGAGATAGATAGAGATAGATAGAGATAGATAGAGATAAATAGAGATAGATAGAGATAGATAGAGATAGATAGAGATAGATAGAGATTGATAGGGATAGATAGAGATAGATAGAGATAGATAGAGATAGATAGAGATAGATAGAGATAGATAGAGATAGATAGAGATAGATAGAGATAGATAGAGATAGATAGAGATACATAGAGATAGATAGAGATAGATAGAGATAGATAGAGATAGATAGAGATAGATAGAGATAGATAGGGATAGATAGAGATAGATAGGGATAGATAGAGATAGATAGGGATAGATAGGGATAGATAGGGATAGATAGAGATAGATAGAGATAGATCGGGATAGATAGGGATAGATAGAGATAGATAGAGATAGATAGAGATAGATAGAGATAGATAGAGATAGATAGAGATAGATAGAGATAGATAGAGATAGATAGAGATAGATAGAGATAGATAGAGATACATAGAGATACATAGAGATACATAGAGATACATAGAGATACATAGAGATACATAGAGATACATAGAGATACATAGAGATACATAGAGATACATAGAGATACATAGAGATACATAGAGATACATAGAGATACATAGAGATACATAGAGATACATAAAGATAGGTAGAGATAGGTAGAGACAGGTAGAGATAGAGATAGAGATAGAGATAGAGATAGAGATAGAGATAGAGAGATGGAGAGATAGAGAGATAGAGAGATAGAGAGATAGAGAGATAGAGAGATAGAGAGAGAGAGAGATAGAGATAGAGATAGAGAGAGATAGAGATAGAGATAGAGACAGAGATAGAGACAGAGATAGAGATAGATATAGATATAGAGATAGAGATAGATATAGATATAGAGATAGAGATAGATATAGATATAGATAGAGATATAGAGATAGATATAGAGACAGATATAGAGGTAGATATAAAATATATAGAGAGAGAGGTAGATATAGAGATAGAGATAGAGATAGAGATAGAGATAGAGAGATAGAGAGATAGAGAGATAGAGAGAGATAGAGATAGAGAGAGACAGAGATAGAGATAGAGACAGAGATAGATATAGATATAGAGATAGAGATAGATATAGAGATAGATACAGAGATAGATATAGATATAGAGATAGATATAGATATAGATATAGATATAGAGATAGAGATAGAGATAGAGATAGAGATATATATAGCGATAGCTATAGAGATAGATATAGATATAGATATAGAGATAGATATAGAGACAGATATAGAGGTAGATATAAAATATATAGAGAGAGATGTAGATATAGAGATAGAGATAGATAGAGATAGATATAGAGATACATATAGAGATAGATATAGAGATAGATATAGAGATAGAGAAAGATACAGAGATAGATAAAGATATAGAAATCTTGTAGCATCTCATTTTGAACCCAATCTTGGCAAATCACCTCTCTCAGCTCTCCCAGTTGCCTCAGCCACCTCTACAGCCACTGGTGCTGGCAGAAACTCTGCCTGAATGGCTGGTGCTAAATATGGCGAACTGTCTCAAAACCCTATCACTCATATCCTGTTGACCCATTAAATCTATGGATCTACAGATCTTCATCCCCAAATTCCTTAAAATTCCTTAAAATTCTTTAAAAGTCCTTAAAATTCCTTTAAGAATCCTGCAAATTCTTGTAAATTCCTTTAAATTCCTTTCAATTCCTTAAAATTCCTCATCCTTAAAAATTCCTTAAAAGTCCTTAGAAGTCCTTAGAATTCCTTAGAATTCCTTACAATTCCTTACAATTCCTTGAAATTCCTTGAAATTCCTTTAAAATCCTTAAAATAAATCTATGGATCTACAGATCTTCATCCCCAAATATGCTATTTCTATCTATTTTTTAGCTTTTGGGCCATCCCCATATGAGTGGGTTGTAAAGTTGTCATCGCAGAGTGACGAAACCTCAAGATCAGCTGGCAGCGTTCTCTTGTCAATACCATTTAGAGTCACGAAAAATGCCATCTGCATACATTCCATCCAGTGCACCAAGTTCAGCTGGGCCGCCAAAATCGATCGACCTCAAAAGTGGCCAACACCAGTTGCGCTCAGCCGGTACGGAAACCTAATAAAGACATATATATATATGTAAAGACTCTGTTACGAGCCAAGAAAATTGATGGTATATCATCGAATGCACCCCAACTATATAACTACTAACTAATCATGGCTCCTTGCATCAGCCAGTGTTAGGACAGAAACCAACAGCACCATAAACGACACCACACCAAGGAACTGGGAAAGGAAAATTCCTTCGCCAGTGACTCGACATCAATGCTGCCAGGAGGAGTGTTGCTCAATATGTCCCGCACCAGCTGGTGTTCGCGTTGAAAGTCTTCGAAACCGCTGTCTCCAGCGAGCTGTTGGTGGAACAGCCTTGGAAATGGCCGTGGAGTGAATCCAACATGATTCAAAATGCAGCTATACGGCTATACATCTTCTGTTTCCTTGCTGAGTATGACAATAGATGAATGTCTCTTCAGGAACTCTTATCTTTACCACGGACACACAAAAAGAAATTAGCAAATCACAGAGTGCCACGTCAACCATGCAACTGCAGCCAGAATCTTTCCAGCCAGCTGTTGGCTTTTGGCCTCAGCCATAGCAAAAATCTGCTCTGCATGCCATACGTTTTCATCGATAATGGATTTGGGATGTGGCGCCAAACAATAACACAGGCAAATCTACATGCAAAGATTCTTGCCAACACGCTTCCCTTCTTGCAGAGCAGTGGCATCCTTATGAATTCCAGAAATTTCCCCAGGTCGTCTTGATCGAAATAAAGTAGAAAAGGTTGTAGCGTCCTCAACGAAATTACCTCAGTGGTCAAAACAAACTCGGCGAAGGAAATGCTTACAAGGTCAAAGTATTGATAGTAAAGGGGAAAATAGGGAGGAAAAAGAAAACACCACACGATCCATCAGTCAAATCGTATGTTGGTTACCCCCAAATGATTCTCTGGCGATTCCAGGTGCACAAAGCGTCACCAAGACATCGCCACCTTCCAAAACCAGGAGATCCCAGAAACGCTTCACCAGTGCCAGTGGCAGTAGCTTCACAAAGAAGGACATGAACCACGCGCATGGAAACCTGAGACACATACGCAGGCACGACACCTCAACATTTGAATACACAAATACAAACAGAGATACATATGCAGCGTATACATATAGATATACGCCTGTACATGACTATATTGACATTTACAAACATGTGGTTCTATGCTTCTATCGACATTTGTGCACCAAAACATCCCCAGGTAAATAAATGGAAATAAAATGGCTATAAATACACAGAAAGCTTTTGAATATCTGTGCATGTGTTTCATGTCTGTGCGTCTATGCCTATCAATTGCCCCAATCTTGTGGAATCTTGCGAAGTCAGGTAGTTGTTCAATCCCGTTTCCCCTCCACCCAGCCGTTTTCCAGCCAGTTCGGTGGCTCTTGACAGTTTTGGCTCAGAAACTGGGGAAATTTGTAGTTCTCCCGCCAGAAGTGATCATGAAGTTCACTCATGCTATCTTTCAGCCGCCGCAAAGTTGCAGAGCTGTAAGTCAGCATCAAAGGAAAATCCTTCGTGTACAATCCTGCCAGGATGTGCATCCCACAAATCGTAAATGGCTTAGATTTCCATAGTGTATAACCCATATATAATCCCATATAAAAGTGGGGATATGATATAAATATTCCATATATATATATATGATCTTACCTTGTAGTACAGAAGTCTGGCCCACATGTCACAAGGTCATTCTTGCACAAGCGCAGGGAATCTCTGAGGTGGACCCGCATGGGACAGGAGAACAGCAGCCAGGCTACAGTAGCCTTGCCATAAACTTCCCCTATAGATTTCCGCCATCATCTTATGATAGCTAGTGATTTTTTACACCTTTACTTCCCACAACTCCAACTTAAATAGCCCTGTCCCTATTTGCCTGAGAGGGCGAAAATCTGCATGAAGACTGTGAAGGCAGAGTAGGCTTCAGTGACATCTTCAAAGACGAGCAAAAGAAGTCCAGCCACGTAGTTCATACTCTGGCAGTATCCTTCTCAAAACTTGAGACTCAAAAAGCAAGCACCTCTAACATTGAAACATCTTTGTATTGTCGCCTGGAAATCACCTACTTAAGTGACTGAAACAATCCATGATAAAAAAACCTTCATCACAATAGGCCCTCGTCCCCTGAACGGCACCTACGTCAGGATTAGAGAAAGCATAGGTGCGCAACAGCTGTCCCATTTTTCGCTGACGGTTTTCATTGAAGCTTGGAACATCCGGAAAGGTCCTCAGGGCAGCGTTCCCAACCACACTTGGGGGCTGAACTGGTATCAGTTCCAAGTTCTGATATCATTATTTATAGATAGATAGATAGATAGATAGATAGATTGATTGATTGATTGATAGATTGATCAGATAGATAGATAGATAGATAGATAGATCGATAGATCGATGGATGGATGGATGGATAGATAAGATAAGATAAGATAAGATAAGACAAGATAAGATAAGATAAGATAGATAGATTAGATTTGTTAGTTAGTTAGTTAGATAGATAGATAGGTAGATAGATAGAAAGATAAATAGATAGATAGATAGATAGATAGTTCGATAGATCGATAGATAGATAGATCGATAGATAAATAGATCGATCGGTAGATAGATAGATAGATAGATAGATTAGATAGATAGATAGATAGATAGATAGATAGATAGATAGATAGATAGATAGATAGATAGACAGACAAACAGATAGATAGATAGGTAGATAGGTAGGTAGATATATAGATAAATAGAGAGATAGATAAATAGAGAGATAGATAGATAGAGAGATAAATAGATAGAGATATAGAAAGATAGATAGAGAGATAGATAGAGAGATAGATAGATAGAGAGATAGATAGAGAGATAGATAGAGATAGATAGAGAGATAGATAGAGATAGAGATAGAGATAGAGATAGAGATAGAGATAGAGATAGAGATAGAGATAGAGGTAGAGGTAGAGGTAGAGGTAGAGGTAGAGATAGCGATAGCGAGAGAGATAGCGATAGAGATAGAGATAGAGCTAGAGATGGAGATGGAGATGGAGATGGATATGGATAGATAGGTAGATAGGTAGATAGATAGGTAGATAGATAGGTAGATAGATAGGTAGATAGATAGGTAGATAGATAGGTAGATAGATAGGTAGATAGATAGGTAGATAGATAGGTAGATAGATAGGTAGATAGATGGATGGATGGATAGATAAGATAAGATAAGATAAGATTAGATTAGATTAGATTAGATTAGATAAGATAGATAAGATTAGATAAGATTAGATTAGATAAGATTAGATAAGATTAGATAAGATTAGTTAGATAGATAGATAGATAGGTAGGTAGGTAGATAGGTAGATAGGTAGATAGGTAGATAGGTAGATAGGTAGATAGGTAGGTAGATAGATAGATAGATATCATGATTTTCATTCTTATCATCATTATCAGCATTATCATTATTATCATGATCATCATTATTATCATTGTTATCATTGTTATCACTATTGTAATTATTATTGTCATTGTTATTCTTGTTACTTTTGTTATTTGTTGTTATTTATTATTATGGTTATTATTGCACAATTATCATGACTATCATGGATCATGCCAGCAACCAACATTTAACCTAGCACCTTGTGATGCCGCAAGGTGCCCTGGCTGAGAATATAAAAAATGCCGACGTCCTCGGAAGGTCCAGCTCAATCTGCCGCAAGACGCGTCGACTGAGTGGATCTTCATCAGCCACCGGTTCTTCCTCGACGAATTTGTAGTGCTACAGGTGGAGATCAATCAGATTCAATGGAATCACTAGGAGATTCACCTGATTTTTTTTCGAGATCAGTCACAATGGATCAATCAGATGCGCAATCCAATTTGATTACTAGTAATCTTTGTTCATTGGATTGTATTGGCATGAGTTCAGATTCCACTGAAAGCTTTGGGTCAGACTTATGTCTCTTTTTGGAACGGAAATGCATTGGAAAAGCGACAAGTTCAGCCCATATGTGCAGCAGTTTGGCAAGGAAAGATTTGGATAGATTTGGAATGATTTGAAAGAATGTTACCTGTTACAATGTTGATTTTAAGAGAAATATTAACGAAAAATTACTTGGAGGAAATCCCACACATCGCATTGCGAGGCCGCGAGGCCCAGGCTGCTTCGTCTGAGCACCCAACCACATGTGCTTCTGCATTCAGCAAGCTGCCCCACACCTGAGGCCATGGCGGTCAAAAGTCATTGGGTTACCATTGCACCCAGAAAATTGGGGACGCCATCCACTGTCTAGTTTTAGCCAGCCCAGGGCACTTCTGAACGGAGTCGATCTGGTACACCTCTCAAGATCATGTGCAAAGCTTCTGTGGGATTTTCGTCCTGGAGCACCGCCATGGTGGAGGGTCCATGGTGCCGTTCAGAGCAGCAGTCTTGCCCAAATAATAAGGTCATCAAGGGCAATAGCCTTATGGACCCAAACACTGCTTCCAAAGTTCAAAAAAAGTTTGTATGAAAATAGAATAACCCCCCAAATCCCATAGCTCATTATAATTTGACCGTCTAAACGGCCATTTGACTGGTACCCCTCATTTTGGGACAAACCAATACATTATTGGTGTGTGTTAAAAACCTGCATATCAAGGCTCCTTCCAACGAAGCACCCCAAAGTTGATGATGTCTTGCCAGCGCTCCTGATATTTCAGGAATACCACTGCTGCGACTTTTCGGAAAGTTAGGAATGCAAGTTGCTGTGCAAATCTATCTGGGTTAGGTCGTCAGAAAGCTCGCAAATCAAAGAATCTCTTCTGAAAGACTGCTTTCCTTTGACAATCCTCAAAATCAACTGAAGTCTTCTGAAAGCAAAAGGTATATCAAAGGATTTCTGCCTCATCGCTTTCCGCTGATGAATTGAAGCTGGCAGCATGCGCAGCATGCGCTGGCATCTCACGTTTGCCCTCTCCAGCCATTGCAGCATGGGCAACTTCGATTTGACTCGCTTTAGCTAAGTTATTGGTAAAACAGCTAATGTGTACAGCTTGGCACTGAAAAATACCCTGTACTGCGTGCTACCAAACATATTGTTTGAACATTGTGTGCTGATGTGACATGTGAGACTAAGACTTACTCAGTGGGTTTCCTCCCCCGGAAAAAAATAAAGCGCGCACGCGCCATAAGAAGCTGATTTGGGGTATCTAAGGGCCGCGCGCACGCGGACCCAAGGAAAAAGTGTTTAAAGTGTAATTGTAGCTACTTGCTGAGTAGGTGTAGATCCTTGATCTCTGAAAGCAATCTCACTTGTGGCAATGTGATGCAGTGTGTATCTCGAAAATTACAGTATTCTGGGACTCCGATAATGCTTGTGTCAGATTTTAAGTTTCAATGGCCACGGCTAAATGGAATTGAAAGCCGAACTGTACAGCTCTGCTCATCGTTGAAGCTTTGGCTCAAAGTCTTGCGGTACCACAAGTGGACAACGAGCACATGCCTGTTTGTATACTTGCAGTGCGAGCCAACATACGGTTTCACACGGATTGTGAATCTGTGGAACCGCAATAGATATACCGTAGATGATTAGGATGCTGTGTGCCTGCATGTGCGCATGCATTCTATGCACGCTCGCATGTGATGTCGACAGAGTTTTCATAAATTGAACGCATCCAGAACTACCTAATCTTCAAATTGCAGACACAAATGGCCCTCTCTGAAAATAGGGCCCCGCTAAAACCACGAGTTCATCATCATTTTCCCTCGTCACATTGCCATTTTTTATGGCGGTAAATACCCCATGATCCAACTGTCTTGGCATTCGCAGGCTTGGGAGCCACTGGAGCCCCGGCACACCACCAGTTAACACGGCAGGACTTGAAAGCCTTCGGCTCCTTAGCAGGGAATAGGGGCATATAATGATAAGTTATGGCTATTTTATGGAGGGAAAGGATGATCAGGGGAAGGTCCAATGTTTTTTGTTGGGAAAACGCAAACTCCAGATCAAATTCAGCTGCATCCTATCGTTCAGAATAGCATTGGTTTCATGGCGAGAGGAGGATTCGGATAGCTGGGGGTCACCTGGTTACTTGGAAGCGCACTTCCAGTTATAAGTGGATATATATATAATATATATAATTATATCCATAGTATACCATAGTTATGGGGCCCAACTTATGGAGAGAATCCCATGGTCCTAACCCCATCCACAGAGTGTCGTCGATCGCCGTGGTGAAGGCGGCGGAGACGGTGCTATGGGTGGGATGTGGGTCGCCATCGCTGTCAGATTCGCTGGGGTCAACAAAAAAACACCATCCGAAGGTTGATCAGTTTGTTATGGAATCCAATCTTGGTCATGGAATCATAAGGATGAGTAAGAGTAATGGAACTATGATGGAATCCAGCTGATATGATTATGGAATCATAAGGATGATTAATATATGGGAATCTCAATCAGCTGGTTGATCTGTGAAGAGTTGGACCATGTTGACCAGCTGATTGGACCAGCTTCGATGACCAGAATCCACTGCAGAAACTCGTGTTCTGCGCAGCCGTTTGAGCCAAGGGCTGCAGAGACCCCTCACGTGGTCTGCATGAACAATCAAATGACTCTCTGCTGCACTATCTCTGCTTTTCTTGGTGCATGTTGAGAAAATATACAAATTGTTGGAACCCATTGGTTCAAGTTGGTCCTCAGTTTGCATAAAGATGACATGAAATGACAACATCCTGTGCCTGTGCCGCACTGGTAGCCACCGTTGCTGCAAACCAAACTCGCATGACAGGGTCCAAAGGATTGTGGTTGTTGCACCATTGACCTTCCAAAAATTGTGTTCCTTTTCATTGTGCTGGAAGCAAAAAAAACTCTGAGATTCTAGTGGGCCGGAAAAATTAAGTCAACCAAGCCCATCCTGGTTGGTAAGGTTTTACAAAGTCGGAAATCAACACTTGTTCAAAGTCCCGCCTCATGTTTCTCACAATATGGAGGTTTCCTGAAATGGTGGGTATCCCCTAAATCACACATTTATAGATGGATTTTCCATGTCATAAACCATCCATTTTCAGAGGAGAGTTTCCCCGCGACTTTGGTCGTTGCAATTTGTGCGTCTCTTGGCTTCGCTTGAGGCTCAACGTGGCGACACGTCCCACGATGATAAGGACCATGTTCTCGAATCTTGCGCAAAAGGTATATATGATATATGATACATGATATATGATATATGATATATGATATATGATATGTGATATGTGATGTGTGATATGTGATATATGATATATGATATATGATATATGATATATGATAAATGATAAATGATAAATGATAAATGATAAATGATATATATATATCATATCATTGAAATCAATGATATAAAACTAGTCAATTATTAGAATTATCAGTCATCTCTACGTAGCTAAAACCACCGAAACAAATGCATACAATGATAATATGGTGCAATCATTTTCATTCATTTTCATGGTTCATCAAAAGTGTACCAAAAGGCAACTAATTTTCCTTGTGACAAAAGGCAACTAATTTTCCTTGTGACGGGAAGGCACCAACTTGAGTAATGAGACCCTGTTGGCTATATCATGGCATTCAGCTGTTGTTAGTTTGAAAGGTGTGAAATTGGTTTGTAGCAAGGCAGTGCTTGTAAAAAATAGTACCGTTGGGACCCCTGCCCCATCCGATGTTGAAGTAGCTGTTGTTTTCACGTCTCCGCTCACATCAGTGCCGCTCAAACTCTGCTCGTGTCACAGCTGCTCATTTCTGCTCAGAGTTTGCCGAGGGCGAAAAGCAGCTCAACCTGCACCAAATACGATCTATCCCGACACATCTGCAGATGCAGACATTGCAATTTCATCAGTTGCCACTATGTTGAAGATAAAAGAAATTGCAATTTTTGTTTGTGCATGTTACTTACAATAAATTTGTCGCCAGATGTAGCTCCACCGTCAGCCCGTGTTCCAAGCAAAGCGAAGCGCCTATCCACACATTCCTGAATCCAGCCAATCATGAAAATGCCCAAAAACACCTAAGACATTCCGTAATTTATGAAAATGTTGCGCGTAGTTTGCCAGCATACCCTGTTTCTGGGAAGGTTGCTTAAATGTTTGTTTACATTCAAGCACGTGTTTGCTTAAAACCATCTGACCTGTTAAGCAAGATGTTTTTTTGAATTGCCAAACCACATTGAACACAATGTCCTGGAAATGGGTCTTACGCCCGTGGAAACTCCAGAAAAAAAACAGCTGCCAGTGCCCAGGCAGTGTTTCTTGGACATCAACATGCCCAAACGTGGCACATGCACAGTCTGTTGCAGGCCAAGTGTCAGAATGGGTTTTCAACATGCCTTGGCGCAACAAATTCGGTGCCATTTCATCACGGCAAAAACAATACGCATCCAGCAACCACACATTGGTTACGCATCCACGCTACCTTTGCAATCTGTTTGCGCAGTTGTTTTCCATCGCAAGTGGAACCGTTAGTTAAACCACCACCACCACCACCACCACCAACAACAACAACAACAACACCAACAACAACAACAACAACAACAACAACAAGAACAAGAACAACAACAACAACAACAATCACCACCACCACCACCAGCAACAACAACAACAACAATCACCACAACCACAACCACAACCACCACAACAACCACAACAACCACAACAACAACAACAACAAGAACACCAGCAGCAGCAGCAGCAGCAACCGCATCAGCAACCACAGCAGCAACCACAGCAGCAATCACAGCAGCGACCACAGCAATAATCACAGCAGCGACCACAGCACAGAATGAAAACTGTAACGTGGGTTTGGTCCTTTCAAGTCTAGAGCTTTGGGTCAGAAAACAAATAGACCTCGTGAAGTGACAAAGCCAAAATCCATCCATCATCCATCCCTTCATCCATCCATTCATCTACTAGAACCCTTGCATGCAACAGGGGCAAAAAAATCATCTGCAGTGATTGCGCCAAGCTTCAATGCATGCCATTTCCGTTGTCATCGACTACATATGAATCTTGGCAAGATTCGATTGGCACCTCATGTTCGACTGGCGAGATGCACACAGAACAAAATGACATCAATAGATCTGGTCTACAGAACAGAAGGTCTATGGGTATTGGTAAAGGGACCTGGTACCCTGGTCAACCTCAAAACATCTGGCAATCGAACGTTCATTCCCCCTAAATAACCTTCAATACGCTATAATACCCACTGGGTGGTTATCATTTTCCCAAAATCTTCATTCAGGTGGCATACCACATTTTCAGGCACCCATATGGTCGCATTATACGTCAAACCCACACCCATGTGGGCCTGCGAGCAACCACTGAACTCCACCTTCCGGCCCCAGCAGCGTATGTAGCCTCAGCTCTGTTCTCATCGGAATGCCTTGACC